TATTTTTATATATTTGTATAAATTAAAAAATACCTTTATCAGAACTTGGATTTTCACCAGGCTCTAAATTACTACATTTGAAAGATTTGTTTTACATCCATATTCAATGTGATTTAGGATTTTTCATGTACAGTATTCATATCAAAATTTGTATTATAATTTATTGTTTCCTGAAAAATTCTTTTTACATTAAGAAGTTTATTCAAAATATTATCAAAAATATCTAGTATATCTCTTATTTTTTTATTCATTCCAAATAATTCTAATGGAGAATTAATTTCATTTTCTTCATTTCTAAATTCATTTATATTAAATAACATTTGGTGTTGAAAAATTATCCAAAGTGTAGCATGTGAACTATTACATGTATCAAAAATATTACCATATCTAAAAGTTGTCTCTTTGAAATCTATATTATCTATAATAGCAAGGTTCCAAATATTTTCTTCTTTTTCTAAACAGAGACATGGGTCTATAGATTTCATTCTAACTTTTTCTAATCTTTTTTCTTGACCATCTGTATGTTCATTTATTTGTAAAGTAGAAAGAAGGTGTCAAAACTGTTGATTAAGTTTTGTTTTATGACTAAGACTAGCAAGTATTTGAATAAACCAAACTCTTAACTTCGGAAATGTAATTTCAACTAATATTGAAATCATAAAAGTAATTATTTTTAATATTTTTGATTATTAAGTAGTTTTAAAGAATTTTTTTTAAATTTTAATTTAATATTTGATAAATATAATTTTTTTCAAAGATTTCTTTAATAAAGCTTTCAAAAAAATTAATTAAAAAAATATTGAAAAAGCTAAATAATAATTTTCAAGTGAAGTTGGATTTTGAATTTCTATTTTGTTTTGATTTATTTCTTTACATGATTTCCAAATTTTATTTGATAAATTTTTTTCTATTTCTAATTATTTTTCATTGGAAATGTCTGGTTGTATAAAGTCTATAGAATATGTATTTGGAATTTTATTTATTTTTAAAAGAATTTGAAATATAAAAAGAGAAGACAATTTTTTGTTATTTTCATTTGTACTTTTATTTTTATTTTTTTTAATAAAAATTCTTGAAGATAATCTAATGCTGAATTTAATATATGCTTGATAACAATTTCTTTTTTATTATTATCATTATTTTTAACAACATGCAAAAGCCAATTTGCTATTGTTATAAGTATTTTATTATTATCTTCATCATACAAACCAGTAGTTTTACAATTAAATTTGAATTTCCCGGAACCACTTTTCTGATGAATATGTTTATCATTAATTTCAAAACATTTGTAACATATATACTAAAAATCTTCATTAACTAATTTTGTCATATCCAAACAAGTTACAAGTGCATTATAACTAAATTGACCATTACATGTTACTTGTATATTTTTATTAAAATATTTCAAGAATGTTATTAACAATTCTTTCCACAACTGAAAAAGCAAAAATTTAATTTACAAAATAAACATCTTCTTTAATAAACAATACTTTTTTCTGTTTTTCGTAACTGCTTTATTTAATTAATATGGTTTTTTTAATCATAATTGAAATGTGACATACATACTTCCAAATTGACTTTATTATTGAAAAAATCTGTAGCAATATTTGCATCAATTTGTTAAGTTCCTACTAATTAACAAATTTTTTTCTTATTTTCATTATTACATGTTTGCAATTTCCTATCATTAATGTTAATAATTACACAGGTTAAAAGTGGAATATTAAATAATTTTTTGTCTATAATATACATTTTGTTCTCTAAATTCAGCTCAATATTAATATTTTTATTCTCAATTTCATCATCACTATTAATACTATATTTATTTTTTTCTTGATTTTGAATTATTTTATGTACTTGAATAAAACTATTAAAGTGAAAAATATTGGATTTTTGCTCATTTATTTAAATATCAAGTATTTGTTAAATTAAAGTGAAATTGTTTGCTTTAGCATTTAATAATATTGATTTTTTACTATTTATTAGTTGTTCTAAATATGCTTCAGTAAATTTTATCTTTTCTAAGTTTTTGAAATTACTATTATTTCTAAAAAATACTCAAAAAGAGTATCATTTTCATCCATATTGAAAATTGCAAGAGGATTTATGGATACCATATATGATTTTAAGTACCAGAGATTCTTTTCCAGAAAAAAATGAATAAAGCTAAAAATCACTGGAACATAAAAGGTTTTTTTATTATCTATTGTGACAAAAAAGTCACTATTTTTTATGATTTTTATATAATCATATAGTGAATTCACCTTGTCGATCACTTTTTACACTAATTAAATGATTTGTTCTCCTAAAATTATGACATGCACACTGACTGATAATTCTGGTCACAAGAATTGATCTCATGATGATTTTCTGCAGTGATTACAGAGATTTTAATATATTATGAGATACCTTTTTTTTAACCACTGCATTCATTCTGTAAAATTCTGAATTAATTTTATAATTTTATTATTTCAACCATATATCTTTAAATCATGTGATTCTGTGATATTTGTTATAAAAATTACAAAAATTAAATTTCTGTAGTTAAGAAAAAAATTAAGAAAAATTTGCGGTGTTTTATGAATTACAGTTCCCTGCTAGGGTATATAATTTTTTGTTCCACATAGAATATAAACGTGTTTTATTTTTGCAACTAGGTGGTATAATTGTATGGATTATGATTTATAAATTGAGATATAATACAATTTCCAAATGGTGTTCAAAAAATAGAATGGAACAAATTATTTTTCTTTATTATAACCCATTTGATATTTTTAAGCAATAATATAATAAATAAGAATAAAAGATTACAATATTTGATCACATATTCAGGTTTGATTAGAAGACTTTAAAAAACATAATGTATCAGAAATCCATATTAATATATAGATATAACAGACAAAAAATATTTTTTTTAAGGGGCTAAAAGATAAACTATATTGATATCACTGATAGCACTACCAACCACCCAACCATCATGAGATAGATGTAGCAAGAGCACAACCCATGACAGTTGCAACAATTATACTCTAGACAAAAAGTTAGAAATAAATATTTTAAATACTTACATCTAGTATACTTACTGTGACTTGTATTACTGGTGTTTTATATGTTGCTTGAAAAATTTCAAGTGAATTAATAATCATTATTTTTAATATTATAATATAATAAAGTACTTGGAATGCATCAGCTATGAAGTGGATATTTTGTATTAAAAAAAAACAAGCTGAAGTTGAAAAATCAGAAAATATTTATTAAACAGAGTCATATTATATGACTCATATAACAACTCTTATTCAATTAAATAATTAAATTTTTAATAATGAAAATAATAATAATAATAATGAAAGTAATGAAAGTAATAACGAAAGCAGTGAAAGTAATGAAATACTCAGTGATGATGAAACTGAAGAAATGCATTCATCTAACAATAAAATATTAGATACATTAGAAAACAATGTGTCTAATATAATTCATTCAAGTGAGAAATGAGTAAAATTGGATAGATAGATATGACTGAAGATGAAAATTTAGAAAATGAATATCCTTTGGATTTTATTGTACTCTTCATCCTGCTTACTAAATGGGATCTTGTAAAATATTTTTAATGATAAATTGGAAACATCTAATTTTGTAAATGAATTAATTAATTTAAATTAAAAGGTTAAATATTATGAAATATGATTAATCAAATTAAATGACCTGGTCATTTGAAATGATGTGATTATACTTGCCTTGATATCGAATATGTTAATAGATAAAAAATTTAACAGGGTACAGTACATTACTGGTGACAAATTAAGCCATTTCATTTCTTTCTTGATTACTTTTATATGTCTTAAATTAATTTCTGTATCATCTTCCTTATTGACAATAAAATTCCCAACATTAAATGCCACATAGTTAAGCGGTTCATATTATATTAATTATTAGAAATATATATTAAAAATATTGTTAAAGCATTTAATTTGAAATAAAGAAAGAAATGTAAAGAATGGCTCATTAAAGCTCGTGAGCCTGCAACATAAAGGCATTGAAGATAATTTTATAATTTTATAAAAAAAAAATATTAATCTTGTAAATACTGTATATGATGAAATCATTTATGTCAGAAACAAAGTATATTACGAAATTTTAAAAAAGTTACTAATACACATGATAAATGCATTTTCATAATATCCATTTCACAACAAACCTTAACAGAAATCATTATGATAATTATAAATTGATCTGTACATCACATTTAAAAAATTTATATTCCATTTCAAATTTCAATAAAAAGAATAGAATTTGAAATTCAATAAATTTTATTAAAGCTTTAAACTGAAAATCTTCACAAATGGAAAATAAGTGATACAATGAAATCGGAACAACAAAAGATGAAGAGAAAGCATTTCATTGGTACTTTGTACTTGAAATCAGCTGAAGGAAAAAATAATAGTAGACAGAATAATCTTGGGAGGCACAAAATATGAAAAGAAAGAATATCAGTGATACTTGAAATCAGCTGAAGGAGGAAACATTAATGGATGGAATAGTCTTGAAAATTACATTCATTATGGAATTTGGAACCACAAAAGATGAAGTCAGTGAAATTTGAAATCAGCTGTAAGAGGAAATAATTAGGGTGCAGATTTATGATTAGGTTAGATATTTTAAATAGGATAATTATTTATTTCTTATTTCTTTTGCTTTGTGAATCTCCCTTTGACAAGAAATCATAAAAAGCTTTTTGTGGTAATTCGACATTTCCTAAATAATATAATTAGATATTTTAAATATATTTACATATATATATATATATATATTCCAGTAATAAAAAAATTAATAATAATAAATATTACCAATCATTTTCATCTTCTTTTTTCCTTCTTTTTGTTTTTCAAGTAATTTCATTTTACGTGTCACATCACCTCCGTACTACAATAATAATAGCAATAACAACCATCGTTATTTGTAAACATAAAAAACAATACATTGATATATAACAAAAAATTAAATCATGTACTTACACATTTAGCGGTAACATTTTTTCTTAATGCAGCAATTCTAAAATATACAGTAATTAAATAAAATAAAAAAATCATAAAAAAAATATATATAAAATACATAAGAATAGATGATAAAGAAAATAAAACTTACGTCTCTCTGGCAATTATTTTTCCTCCAATAGCAGTTTGAATTGCTACTTCATATAATTGTCTAATCACAGATAATCAAATATCAATATGATAAATAATTCTAATAAAAATAAAGTAAATCACAATATATACATACTTTGGAATAACTTCGCTTAATCTCTTGGCCCAATCACGTCCAACAATTTGTACTTGAGATCTATGTAATATAGCTGCTAATGCATCTATAGGTTTTTTATTAATTAATAAATTCATCTATTTATAAAGAGAAAAAAAAAAAAGAAATAAAAATAAGATCAATATGAAGGAAAAGGATGATTAAATAATTTATAATTCAAATTATTCAATAATTACTTTTACAACATCAGATGCTTTATATCCCATATCTTCATAATCAAAACTATATATATGTATAGATAGAATAATATTGTCAACATATGACATTTTACAGTCAATATTATTGTTATTAAAAATTAAATCTCTTATAAATTAAAGAGAAATTTTTTTTAAAAAAAAAAAACCTTGCATAACCACTTGATCTTGATTTCAATTCATCATGAAAATCTGTAACAATCTCAGAAAGTGGTAAAGTATATCTCATCATTACTCTGTGTTCATCTAAAGAATTATAATCAACTTGTTCTCCTCTTTTGCTCTATTATAAAATGATTTTAATAATAATAATATGATATTTAATATATTTAATAATATTAATGATATTATTATTATTAATATTGAATAAAAACTTACTCCACAGAGATCCATTATAACACCCATATATTCCTAAAGAAATTAAAAAAAATATATTATTATTATTATTATTATTATTAAAATATTAAATGATATTAAAAGATAAAAAAAATCCTCACATTTGGTAAAATTAAAGTTGCCATAACCATGGGTTCTTGTAATTCAACAACATTATAAGACATTTCATCTGGTTCAGGAAATTCACTTGGATTACGAACAAATTTTGATTTTCCATCATGATAAATAACTAAATTAGAAAGTAAACAAATTAAATATCAATAACATGTCAAAAACAATAATAATAATATAATATAATATAATATAAATATCAAGTACTTTTATAAGGCACAGTTGGTTGTGTCACTATAACACTGGCATCATATTCCTAACAAAATCAAAAAAAAAAATAAAATAAAATAAAATGAATTATTATAAATTACTATTATAAATTATTATATTATTTTTACTTACTTCCTCTAATCTCTGTTGAAATACATCCATATGTAATGTTCCTAAGAATCCAATTCTCCAACCTTGACCCAATGCCATACTAATTTAAATAATAATAATTCAATGATCTATCATTTTTCTTTTTAATTATATTTATTATTATTATCATCATCATCACCACATTTACCTTGTTTCCTTTTGTACTGATACACTAGCATCATTTAATGTTAATTTTTTTATTGATTCATCTAATTTGTTAAATTCATTTGCATCCACTGGAAATATTCCTGCAAATACCTATAAATATATAAATAAGTGTGTGTATGTATATATAGTAAACATATTTATATATGTTATTTGTACATAAAAATTATTTTATTACCATGGGTTTAGCTGGTTCAAAACCAGGTAATGGTTTAACTGGACATTTATAATGATAAAATGTATCACCTATATGTGCTTCTGCTGCAACCTTCATACTAAGAATAACATATCCCACTTGACCAGCATGTCTTAAATAAATATAATTATTAGTTTTAGATAATAAATAGATAAAAAAAAATGGTAGATACAAATATATTGGCAGTATACTTACAAGTATCCAGTAGGAACTTGTTCAGGATACATGATTCCAATATCAGATACTTCATATTTAAGTTCTGAATAAGCTGAAACAATTTTATCTCCTAAAATATATATATCATTAAATATTATAAATAATAATATTTGTTAATATTATTTTTTTTTGTTTAGCTAACCTTTTTGTAATTTTCCATCAACTATTGCCATTAAACAGACAACACCAACATAAGTATCATACCAAGAATCAAAAAGGAATGCTTTCAATGGTTTATTTATATCCCCACTAGGACTATTAAAATATAATTAAAGATAACAGAACATATTGTTCATTGAAATTTTAAAAGATAAAAATTCATTACAATATATATATTATATATAAATAGAGAGAAAGAAAGAAAAATGGATACATGAAATTTTAATGTTTCATTTAACTATAAACTTACTGTGGAATTTTCTCAATTACTTTAGGTAAGATCTTATCAACATTGATTCCTGATTTTGCTGAAATCTTGAAATATATTAAAAAAAAAATATTATTAATAAGTAAATATATACATATATATATGTAGAAAATATTTTTATACAAACCAAACATATATCAGTAGTATCCAATCCAAATGAATTTTCTATTTGGCTGATAACACTTTTAGTATTTGCAGAATCTAAATCAATCTATTGTAAATATAAAATATATTTTTAATTAATTTTCAGTATTATTATCTGCCTTACTTTATGATCTATTATTACTTTTAAAAATAAAAGAAATTCATAAATAATAATAAAAAAAATAATTACTTTATTGATGACTGGCAATATTGGTAGATCTTGATTAAATGCTAACCAAAAATTTGCAGCTGTTTGAGCTTGTATTCCTTGAGATGCATCTACTAATAGTATTGAACCTTGACATGCTGCAAGTGATCGAGATACTTCATAATTAAAATCAACATGCCCCTTATTTATATTATTATTATTAAAGAAAAATAAAATATATGTATAAATATATATTTATTTTTTTATATTTTATATATATCTAAGTTTTTAATTTTTACTCACTGGTGTATCAATTAAATTAAGTAAATATTCTTTTCCTTTATATTTGTAAAACATGGAACATGTCTAAACATAATATATTTTATATGGATATAAATAATTAATTAATTAAAAATGTAAATTATTATTATAAAATACAATAAATTAATATTTCTTTTTTTTTTTACCTGTGCTTTGATGGTGATACCCCTCTCTCTTTCCACATTTAATTTATCTAATACTTGTTGATGTGATTGATGTAGGGATATTGTGCCTATTATTAAAAAAAAAAATCCAATCCGTGGATTATTATTACAAATATAAAATAAGATATTATGAATAAATAGAAAGTTATTTTTAATTACCTGTGATCTCTAAAAGTCTAAAGAAAAAGATTAAAATACATTCATAAAAAAAAATATATGAAATTAATAAATCAATCTTTAATAATTATCTATAATAAAATATCTTTTTAATAAATTTATTATTATTATTACTAAACATACTTACCTATCTGCTAATGTGCTTTTACCATGATCTAAAAAACAACAACAACAACAATAATAATAATTTATTATTATTATTATTAAAGGAAATTTTTTTATAATATTTATTATTAAAAAAATAAAAAAATAAAAAAAATTTTGAATGATATTTTATTTACCTACATGGGCAATTATACTAAAATTCCGAATATCTTGAGCCGGAATTTTTGTCAAGTCAATAACCTATTTTGTTATTATCATGTGTTATTATTATTTTATTATTATTTCCAAAGAATTACTGTAAATATTTTATTTAAAACTTACTGAATTATAAAAAGGGGGAGAAGAAGAGGAAGAAGAAGAAGAAGAAGGGGAAGAGGGAGGGGAAGAGGGAGGAGAGGAAGTTGTAGTTTCCCATCTTCTTAAAAATTTATTATAATAATTATAATTGTAATGATATCCACAATTATTTATTCTATAAATTTTTCGAAAATTTAAATAATTATAATATGATGGTGGTGGTGATGATGATGATGATGAAAAAAAAGAACTTTTCAAAATAAAACTTTTTCGATAAAGATTATGATTTTTATGATTATTATTCCTGATGAAATTTTTAAACGAATTGATTATAGACATTCCGGTGTGATAATAGTAATTGTACGTATATATTGAAGAAAAAAAAATTTTTTTATATATCAAAATAATGATACGTATTGATAATCTCTAAATTGTACCACTACAAAACCCTTTTTCATTCATTCATACATACTCAACATTCATATTCGAGAAGAAGGAAAGAAAGAAAGTATAGTCGTTACGTTCAACATTCTCATATACACGATACGTACAGTATATTATAGTTAAAAAATTCAAAGTAAAAAAAAAAAAGTAGGTAAAAAAAAACTTTACTAAATAAAAATGTACTCAAAAAAAATATCCCAAATACGATTTATATTTTAGATGATTTTATATGCAAAGATTTATCGTCTAATAAACTAAATCGATTTACTAATAACACAATTTTTTTTTTGAATCTTTGAGGGAAGAAACGAATACACCTTGAACCCATTAGTTTAGTTTATAATCCCTTTTTCCGAGGAATAACTATTCATTTTTAATTTTTTTTTTTTTTTTAAAAAAAAAAAGTAATAAACTTTCTCTCGACTCTATTCTATTAATGCTATTTACTATCTATTCTTCAGAGTTGTATTTAAAATGTTGTGTTACGTAAGGTTTTTTTTTTCGGACTGGAATGCCAATCATGATTAATCATGATTAAAGATAATTGAAGATCTAAATGATGTGACCAACTCAATTCAAAAAAAAAGTCTAAAATCCATTGCACCACCTCGAAATCCTGCGAAAACTCGTTCTTCGATTGCTGAATAATGTTTGTTCCGTTTTTTATTGTAAAATAGTTCATTTTAATAGCAGTAAGAAAGAAAGAATTTTTTAGTTAGTAGCGCGCAAAAAATTACATATATTTTTTATTTATTGGTGTAACAGATGATATCAATTTAACTAATTGTTATAAACGTGGAACGTGGATCCCATTTTATTATTTTGGCATGCCATGTTGCAAATTTGAAAATATATCGAAATGAATTTATTGTTATTAGCAAAGAGGAGAAGGAGTAATAATAATAATAATAATAATAATAATAACATTCAAAAAAACATTCAAGTGATGATTTTCTTTATACTAAACTTTATTATTACTAAGCGTTAACTATCGTTTAACTTCTTTCGTTTTATTTTATTTAATCTTATTTTAATTTTATTTCGCCTTATTGTTAATCATTATTATTTATTATAGTTAGTTTTAAATACATGCATGTAACCTGTTATTATTAATTGATTTGATGTGACCCTCAAAAACGAAGTAAATCCGCATACAAGAAAGAAAAAAATCTTGAAAAAAAAAAACTATAAAAAAACCTGAATCATTCTTGATTGATTAATTGATTTATTATTATTATTATTATTTTTTATTTTTATTATTTTTATTATTATTATTTTTATTTTTTGTTTGTATTTTTAACGCCGATTTAATTAATCAACTTTCTGTTTATTAAATAATATTTATTTATTTATTTCATTCTTTTAATAGTAAGGAAACTAATACCCGAAGAAGAAAGAATTATTTATTAAATAAAATAAAGAAAAAAAAAAACAAAGAAAAACGATAAACAATGAATGATATCAATATTAATAATTACACATTTAAAACAAAAAAAAACGAGGTTAAACCTGCGATATTTATTATGATGATGATGAAATGGTGACGAAACTAAGGGGGAAGGTCTCGAATAGATAACAAAAACAGCAACAACAAAGACTAAGTTATTCTATTTTTAGGAGACGTAAACGAATGGAGGTACGAATTGAATGTATCAGATATATCATGAGATAACTTTACAGTAAATAAATATATAAATAAATAAATAAATATATAAATATATATATATGTATATGTATATGTATATATAAAATAAATTAAATATAAAAATCAAACAAAATAAATATAAATAAAATGGCATAAAAGAGGGAGAAAAATATTGTGACAATTGATGACTATTATTAGGGATTTGGACTATTATTAGGGATTAGAAGAAGAAGAAGAAGAAATGGAAGAAATAGAAGAAGAAAGAAAAAAAAATAAGATAATAAGTAATAACATATAAGGAATATAAAAAAATAAAATAAACAGTTATGTAGTTTGTAAGCGAAATCAATTAAATTCGTTTTACAAAATAAAATTAGCACATAATTATCTAGCGCATAATTTTTTGCATAAATAAATAAGCATAATTCGAGTCCTAATTAACCACTTATTACAATTTGTAATTTATTACTTATTTATTATACAATTTATTTAGATTTTATATATTATTATTTATTGGATTTATTTATTTATTTATTTATTTATTTATTTGTAATCTATTTATTTATTTATTTATTTATTTATTTATATTTTTTATTTTATTTATTTGGAATAAAAAATCGAATTATTATTATTATACTCCCCAAAAATATCCGCTAAAATATACGAAATATACAAATCATATAATAATATAAAAGTTTAAAGGGAGAGTACTTTTTAGAAATATTAAAAAAAAAAAAAATTCTTTTTCTTTTATTAACAAATAATAAAAAATAATTTAAATAAGCCACAAAATTGTATAAATTGTGCAATCAAAGAGCACAAACTTATTTGATGAATGATTATAATAAGTGAAATAATAATAATAATAATAATAATAATAATAATAATAATTATAATCAATATTAATAAATAATTTAAAGGTAATAAAATTTAAAAAATAATTGTATCACAATAACTTAAAACATTTTAACCAAAAACGATGTAAAACATTTACAAAACATTGAGGTTAACATTTACAGCCAACTCGCATACAGTTTCAAATATCAAAAAAAAAATAATAAATAATAAATAATAATACCAAGAAAAAAAAAATAATAATAATATAAGCCAAACAGAACAAATTATACTAAATCGGGAATTATGAATTAAAATTTAATTAATGAAAATAACAGAATAAATATACGACATTAATATAAATGAAAAATATACGACATAATAAGAAATATATGAAATATACGACATAATAAGAAATATATGAAATATATGAAATACATGACATACGACCTATACTACATATATGAAACATTGGGAGTTCATAAAAGGCATATATGATAGATTATTAAAACTCTTTGTCACGTGAAAACGGATACTATGTATTGATAAAATAATTAAAATAATATGATATTGATTAAAAACGGATGATCAAAAGGAGTAGTTCTTTTTCATACATAATACCATACACATTACATTCCACGCATTACACACAACGGATCCATTCAACGTAAAATTATTTTCATTGTCTGAATCCAAAATAAAATAAAATCTAATAAAATCAGGTAACGATGTTTGGTTAATGATGATGATGGGTTTTCTTTTTTAAATAAAATAAAAATCACAAGTTGGTTTATTTTGTTTAAAAAAAAAAAAAAGTTTGAAAGGATTAAATAAAAGGAGTTAATCGGTTAAATTTATTATAATTATTTTTCCAATGAATCTTTTTTTAAAACCTAAAATAGAATTAAAATAATTAGATAAAAAAAAAGTATTAAATATATTATTTTAATATATATTATTTTGATTATTTTGGATTATTTTCTCTCCCCGAGTATCCGTCCAACATTAAAAATATTAAATAGCAGCATTACATTATATAATTATATAATTATATAATTTTTAGAATACTTTATATAATATTTTTTTAATATAAATAAAGTAAAATAAATTATATTAATTGAATGTATTACGTCTATGAGGTAGATCGAGGGGTGTACGTTTACCAGTTATAACAAACAGTTTCGATTTTCGTGGCTCTCGATTTTTTTTTTTTTTTTATATTTTTTAAACTTTTTTTTTTACCCAAAATTACTCTTTTCTGTCATATACTGTAATTTTTTAGTTTGTCATCATATACGGTATCTTTTTTTGTTTTTGTTGTTGTTGTTGTCATATATTTACACTTTCCTATTGCCCCTATCATTTTTCCCCCATTACTTTTTTGTGGTGGTAAAACCGAATTTATTCCTTTTCTAAGCAATAAGAAATATATATATATATTGAGATAAAAATAACTAATAATTATTGATTAATAATTATCAACAATAATTTTAATTTATTTGAAAAAGGAACATTTGACAAATAATCCAACTTTGACTACTTCTAATACTCTTTTACTCTTTTCGAATAATAATTTTTACGTTTTCTTTTTTCTAAAAACAAAAAAGTTTTTTTTTTTTGCAAATTTTTTTTAAAAAATCCGACAAAATTATTACAAATTATAAATAAATTATTATAAAATTTTTACAAATTTCTCGGGATTTAATTCGATAACGTAAAAAAATTGGTGAGTTTTTATTTTATTTTTCAAAAAAAAATTTTTTTTTTTTGTTTTATCTCTCAAAACAACAATAACTAATTATCTCTTCTATCTGCTATTTGCTATTATCATTTTTCTCTTCTATCATTATTCCGTCTTATATCCAGTTAATAATAATAATAATAATAATAATAATAATTCGCTTTATCTTTTAATAATAATAATATATATATATATATATATATAAACATAATTTTACATTCCCCCCAAAAAAGAGCAATAAAAATAATTAAAAATATGGGATTAAAACTAAAAAGTCAAATTAAAATAAATGACTATGTATGTATTATCATTTATCATTGATCTTTTTTTTAATTTTTTTTTTAATTTTTTTTTAATTTTTTTGTCACTTTTCCCATTTTTTTCTAACATTTCTATATTTCAAACGTTAATTAGAAATTTGGCGAATGTTTAGGAAAAGGTGCCTCTGGTTCTGTATATAAAGCTTTAAATTGGGAAACGGGTGAATTCGTAGCTATCAAACAAGTGAAAGTTACCGACATGCGTAAATCCGAATTAAACTTTATAATGGTTGGTTAATTGACTTTTTAACATTTTAATTATAGCTAGCTTATTTTTATACTATGCATACATATACATGGATATAATATATTTATATGCAATATATTTATATTTATTTATTTATATTTATTTTTTTAGACTGAAATTGACTTATTGCAAAATTTAAAAGTAAGTTTAATTTTTTTTTTTAAAAAAAAAAAAAAATATTATAAATATTATAATATTATATAATATTATATATATTGATAGATTATTTTTATTTTTTTTATCGATGTGGAATTTATTTTAGCATCAAAATATTGTAAAATACAAAGGATTTTCCAAAACGAACGAATTTCTAAATATAATTCTGGAGTAAGTTTTTTTAATTCGTTCAATTTTAATTTTCAAATCCAAAAAACCCCCTTAATTAAAAAAAAAATCTATTATTATTATTATTAAAATAATGATTTTATAGATATTGCGAGAATGGATCATTACATACTATTTGTAAAAAGTATGGAAAATTTCCAGAAAATCTAGTGGCAGTTTATATTAGTCAAGTTTTAGAGGGATTATTATATCTTCATGATCAAGGAGTTATACATCGAGATATTAAAGGAGCTAATATATTATTAACCAAAAAAAATTTAGTTAAATTAGCGGATTTTGGGGTAGCCACGAAAATTAATAATAGTGTGGAATCAGATGTCGTAGGTACACCATATTGGATGGCTCCAGAAATAGTGGAATTAACCGGGGCCACTACATCATCAGATATTTGGAGTGTAGGATGTACAGTGATTGAATTATTAGAAGGAGGGAAACCACCTTATCATGGTATGCCGGATATGACTGCATTATATCATATTGTGAATGATGATTGTCCTCCATTACCGGAAAGTGCTTCACCGATTGTAGAAGATTTTTTAATGCAATGTTTTCAAAAGGATTGTAATCTCAGAGTTTCCGCTAGAAAATTATTAAAACATCCTTGGGTATCAAATGTACGAAAAATTCATAATAATAACAATAATAATAATAATAATAACAATATTAATAATAATAATAATAATAATAATAATATTAATATTAATAATAATAATATTAATAATAATATTAATACTAATAATAATAATAATAATAATAACAATAATAATAATAATAATAATAATAATAATTCTCGACAACAATTAAAAATGTTACCAGGATACGATGAAGTTGTTAAGAATATACAAAAATGGAATGAAGCTATAAAATGTTCACCAGTAATAATAGCGCATAATAGGAGGAGAAGTGAATCTTTAAGATTAGTGTCCACAATGCCAACAAAATCTAGATTACAATATCCACTTTCTTCTTCACCGAAAATACCCGATTTTAATTTTATTGTGGAAAATTATGATAAAAAGGTTAATAATGATAATAATAATAATGATAACAAGAATAATGATGATATTGATACTATTAATATTAATATTAATAATAATATTAATGATAATAATAATCATAATGATAATAATAATAATAATAAGGATAATAATAATAATAATAATAATAATCATAATAAAAATACCATCAAAAATATGAATCTAAATATTCCTAGTATAATCAATAATAATAATAATAATAATTTTAATTGGGATAAAATAATTGCGGGAAATTCGAATTTATTGGTTTCACCTGTAATTGAACAAAATAATCGTTTATCAGTTGTTAATTTGGAACCCGAAGATGATGATGGAAATAATTGGGATGATGATTTTGTTGATTCAATCCCATTTTCGAAAATTGAGGAACATAGTAAAACCATTCGACGATCGACTAATTCTATTAATAATAATCATAATAATAATAATCATAATATTAATAATAATAATAATAATAATAATAATAATCTAATGACAATAGTTAATAATCAATTTAAAAAGAATCGTACGAAAAATTTAGCATCATCACCATTATCAACGGCCGTTAATAATAATGTTGATGATTTTTATGATGATGATGGGGGAAAGACAATAACTCATGAAATAGCTAAATTGATTTCTAATAATAACAATAATAATAATAATCATCATAATAATCACAATAATAATAGTAATAATAATAATAATAGTAATAATAACAATAATAATAATAATAATATTAATATTAATGGTAGTAGTTGGGAATCTATGCAAGATACTGTAATTAGATTACCAAAATCCGAGAACAAACAAAAGGAAAGGAAAGGAAAGGAAAACAACGATAACGATGACAAAAACAACAACAACAAAAATAAATTTGCTCAACAACCGATTGTCAAAGAATTGGTAAAACAACATACTCGTGCTCATAGTGCAAATTATGCTCAAGATCCTTCTAATCCAGCATTACAAAATGGAGGAGAAAAGAAACAAATGCCTCCTTTACCTAAACTTAAAAATGTTTCTTCTACCGTATCCGCTTCAACTGTTATTAGAAGAAGACCTATCCCTTTACCACCATCATCATTATCACCACAGTCAATTAATTCTTCTCCATCAACTTCTCCTTCTACTTCTTCTTCTTCTTTTGGTCAACAACAACAATTACAAGATGAAATAAATCAATATCAAGAATCTGATGATGATGATGATTATAATAAAGTTTTTAGTAATGATGATGATGATGATGATACACTTGATACATTAAGATTAAATACTCGATATTCAAATAATAGTTGGTTAGGTGATGATATTAGTGATGAAGATGATCCATTTACTGAAATGGAAGAAAAATTTGATGAATTGGATTTAAATGTTCATATCGCTAAAGATAAATTCGCTCATGCTTGTAATCGAATGGAAGAACTTTTAAGTACTTTACAACCAACTGAAAATGATGAAGATCGATTAATTCATTCTTGTAATCAAATAATTTATTTATTAGATGAACATCATGATCTTAAAAATCATTTCATAATCTTTCATGGTGTAATTCCTATAATGGAAATGTTAGAAATGTGTTGTGATAATAATTTACTTTCAAGATTATTAAAAATTGTTAATATTATTATTACTGATAATATTAATTTACAAGAAAAATTATGTTTGGTTGGAGGAATTCCTATTATTATGAATTTCACTTCAAAAATTTATCCTTATGAAATTAGAGTTGAATCCGCTAAATTTATTGGTCAAATTTGTCAAACTTCTCCAATAATTTTACAAATGTTTATCTCTTGTAGAGGATTAAAAGTTTTGGTGGAATTTTTACAAGGGGATTATAATGAACAAAAAGAACTTATCTTAATTGCTATTAATGGAATTTCCGGTGTATTCGAATTACAAAGTCGAACCCCGAAAAATGATTTTTGTCGATTATTAGCTAAAAATGGTTTATTGGATCCATTGGCTATAACTTTACATAATATTATAGAAGATGAAGATGATCCGGATATTAAAATTTATATTAAAACCATAATTAATATCTTTTTATTCTTTTCACAAGGTGATGCTTACGTTAAAGAAGTTATGGCAACTCGTACGAGGGTGGTCACGAGAATATTTGAAGAATTAGATAAATTACCACAAGATTTAATGGTAATGATGTTAAAATGTATAAAGAATATTTCAATGAATCCAAATACTTTAGAAGCATTACAAAAAGCCAAAGCGATTCAAGTACTTACATCAATAATGGATAAACAACAAGGTCCACCATATATAACGGAAATATCAAATCAAGTATTAAATACGATGTATAATTTATGTAAAATAGATAAATCACGTCAAGAGGAAGCTGCCAAAGCAGGAATTATACCACATTTAAAATATTTTGCATCAAGTAAAACACCATTAAAACAATTCGCTTTACCAATTTTATGTGATATGGCACATAAAGGTCAAATTTGTAGAGAATTATTATGGGAAAATAATATATTAGAATTATATCTTAATTTATTGGTTGATCCATTTTGGCAAGTTAATGCATTAAAAGCAATTTTAATATGGTTTCAAGAAGAAACGGATAAACTTAAAGAAGTATTATTGGAACCGAAGAATATTAATTTCATTTTAGAATCATTCATTACTGCCAAAGCGATATCATTTGAAAACATTTTAGGACCATTACATCACTTAATACAAATATCTAAAGAAGTGACATGTTCATTAGCTCAACCGAATTTATTTAAAAGATTATTAAAAAGATTAAAACATCCAAAACCTGTGGTAAGATTAAATTTATTAAGAATATTAAAATCGGTATGTGACGCACATCCGGAACCCATGGGAATTATTGAAGGATATGGATTATTTGAAATTATTTATCAAATGAGTAAAGAGGATCCAGCAGTTTTAATAAAAGAATTAGCCAAAGAAATTTTATCACAAGGATATTTTAGTCCTAGAAGTAAAAGTCCTAGAGATGAAAGAAATTTTTCATCACCGATTTCTTCGACATCATTATCACCAATAACATCGTTATCACCAATATTTACACCACCATCCACTCCACCACCGACCACAATGATATCTACATTGTCTAAAGCATTATCAACACTTTCAACCCAACCACCACCAAACAAACCACTACCATCCACACCATTAATCACAACACCAACCAGTCCATCTTCACCGACCGAATTGTCATCTTCACCACCCCCACTTCCACCACCTAAAACTGAATTATCATCTTTATTGTCATCTTCACCACCACCACCACCGCCACCAAAAACGGAATTGTCATCTTCACCACCACCGCCACCACCAAAAACCAATTTGTCATCTTTACCACAAACTGAACAGGTTAAATCGGCTGGACTGGTTGAATCTGCTGGATTGACTGGATTAGGTAATGAAAATGATGATAATTTCTTACGTAAGGAAATAGAAGATGATATCAGTTGACTAGAGGCGGTTCAGGTGAATCACTTTCACCGGAACAAACATAATAATTATCGACCTCTTCAATCAATATTATCACCACCAACATCAAACATTAATAAATCTATTGATAATATTAATATATCAAATTCATCCAACACATCATCTAACAACAAATCGAATTTATCTAACAGACCATCTAATACATTAAGAAAAAGAGCATTATCATCACCTACCAATATTAAATCATCATCACTTTCAACTTCAAATAATAACAGTAATAATAATAATAATATTGATAATAATAATAATATCAATAATAATATTGATAATAATAATAATGATGATAATGATAATAATAATAATAAACCCTCACGTCCATTATCAATATCATCATCAATATTAACTTCAACTTCATCACCTAAATCTACAATAACTCGTTCTTCATCTGTAAGTAATCATCACTTTCATCAACAACAAAATAATCGAATTCATAAACGTAAAATATCATGGACACCATCAATATATGCAGTTTATCATAAATCATCATCAAATACATCTTTAGAAACACCCATACCGATATCTAGTTCACCCAACACACCTAATGCACTCAATGTACCAAATATACATAAATCCACATCAAATATTACAAATCTCATGACTTCCTCATCAAGTTCACTTTCATCTTCATCATCATCATCACCTAAAGTAATTGAAGAAGAAGAAGAAGAAGAAGATGGAAAAGAAGGAGAAGATGGAGAAGAAGAAAAAGGGGAAGAAGAAGAACCTAAATCACCATTTCCTTATGAAACGATTCAAAAACGACATAGTTCACGAAAAATGAGAGCAATTTCACATAATCGATCTTATAATAAATTACTTGCGGTTGATGATATTTTGAATCCTATTAATAATACAAGTTCAAATAGTATTGTTAGTGATAGTAGTAACAATAATAATAATAATAATAATAACAAGAGAAAAAGTTCCGCCAGTTCTCGTGGTTCTTTTTCTAATTCACCTTACTCTGTATTGGATTGGTTTAAAAAGAGAGTTTCTACCAAAGATTCGGGAAAAGGATTAATTAAATCTAAATCATTAAAAAGTAGTTCCGGAAGTAAATTTAGAGAAGTTGTGATAACTGATAAAAAAAAAAGAGGTTCTTCGGTTTCTAATATTTCTAATAATTCTAATAATTCTTTTTAATATAATAATTTCAATCATTTCATTCTTTTTTTTTATTTTTGTATTTTTTTTTGTATTTTTTAATTTATTTATTTTTTTTATCTAGCATTTATATATTTCATCATCATCACCATCATCATTATTCATCATTATTCATCATTATTCATCTTCTTTGTAATACTTTTAATTAATTTGTATATTTCTATTATTACTTTTTTTAATGAATAGTAAATAAATTGTAAAAATTATAACATAATAAATAAATAATTTAATAAATAATAATATTATTATTATTAATAATTAGAAATATTTATCTAATCATTGTTTTTATATAAATTTTCAAATTATTACAAAATGAAGTTTATACTAAGTAATACATATGAAAATCCTTTTTTAAAAAAATGGTATTATCTATAATATAAAAAAAATCACCTATTTGAAAATAAAGTTTACCTCTTTTCCCATATTGGGCTTAATGCTTCTAATAAGTCAAATTGAATTGTGTTGATTTACAGTTATGACTGAATCAAGTTAAAGATATACCCTAATCCCAAATCGAGTCTAAAATTTATACATGCTATTCAAATTCAAATTCAAAATCCAGTTCAAATTCCAAAACCAAAATATTTTCAACAACCCAAAATACTTTTAATAGTTCAAATTAATCAAATAATCAATTAGGATTATTCTTAAATATAATTATTCAATTATAATAAATAATCAATTATATAATTATAATTGAATAATCGATTACATGATTATAATTGAGATTATATAATCTAAATCATCTATAGATTGTCTAAAAATATTATTTTAAATAGAAATTTAATCTGGTTAATATGAAAATAAATTATTTTTTTAAAAATACAGATCTTCTGTAATCACGTGTTTTGGTTGGCCAATGAATTTTCAAATTTATGATCACATTATTAAGTATACAAATCACATGTTAGTTCTTAACCAATAAAATTAAGCTATATCTTAAAATATGAACAAAGTACTATTTTTATTATTTTAATAAATATATATCATTATTTTTATTTATTATATATTATTACTACAATTTAATATACACACATATATTCTCTCTCCTTTCTATATTGAACTAATTAATAAAAATTTATTAGTAAAGTTATAATTAGAAAAATTAAAACAAAAATAAAATATTAAATTATTAGTAAAAAATAATTTTTACAATAAAACATCAAAAAAAATCACTTTTAAAATATTTAAAATATGTAAATGGAAGTTTTATATATTGTTACCTCTGTTTATTTTTATACTTATTAATTTATGTATTTATATATTTTATTATCATATTTATTCATATCTGTATTATTTTATTATTAATTATTATATATTTTATTATTATATATAGTATTACAGTAGATCAATTTCATAATCTGTAGTACAAATTAGATATTATTACTTAAATTAGTAAATT